TATTGACATTTGATCTAAATAACTAATCACGACCGAGTCTTCATTATATTTTAAAATTCTAATAAAGAAAAATATCATTCCTAATTTTATAATTTTATTTCTTTACGCTTATTCAGAATCCCTAATTAAGAAGACGAAAAATATGGACATTCGAATAAGGAGTAAACAGAGCACTCCCCCATAATTGAGTAAAAACTTCTACAAATTATAACCTTAAAAGTATTTGAGATATGTAATCTTACACCCACAATCACAGGTCATCAAATTACTGGAAAAAACCAAAAGTTAAATACAGTAATTAAATAAAATGTTATTGATGTAATTATTTATCACCAAGCTCTCCCCTTATCTTATTCATAAAAATACAAACAAAAGTAGATATTTTATTCGTATAAATCAGTAAATCATCTTGATATTCAACAGTAAATGCTATAAAACCATTAAAAAATAAAAATTTAAGATAAATTTTTGTTGAAAAAAAAAAAAGATTAGGGCACAGAATGCAACATACAATTGCTCATAGTTCACACTGTAATATTTATAGAAGATTATTTTTAGTTCGCAATCATTGTCAACATTTCATACTTCAATCACAAGAGATACGAAAGAATAAATAAAGAAAGACAAGTATAAAAAAGTTCAATACACAATTGATTCCTTTAATACTTCTTACTCTATTTCTTTCAGTCGAAATAAATATAACAATATATGTATCCCTTACAACTTAAATTATCAGAAAGAAATCTATAAATTCTTTTTCTTTTGACCTTTACGGTATATTTGTGCAGATAATAAATAAAAAATTCCATTATCTACTATAAAAATAAATATAATGTCAATATAAATCTTTCCCTTGTATTTTTTCTCTGATTTAAAATTTCTTAAAAAATATATAGTATTTTTCGTCATACGTAAATACAGTAATTTATAAGTAATAAAGAATAAATTAATTTTAATAATAGAAACTGTAAAATTAGAAAATTAATACTGTTTCAAAATATTAATATTCATTATTATTAAGTCAATGAACTGAGTGTAATTTAACACTTAATTAAACAAATTAAAATTTATGTAGACGTATATAATGTGTTGATTTCGATTTATATAAATAACATTAATATATTTTATAATTATAATTTATTCTTATATCATATATGACGTCATAATTGTGTTATTAACATTTTTAATATGAATACTTCTTAATTGTTATTAAAAATGTAACTTAATTAAATTTATATTTATTAATTTTTTATTATAATTAATCATTTCAGTTATAGTTATAGTTTTATATATGATTCAAAGATACTTTAACACACAGAAATTGACCTAAATATAGAAATATTGAATATTGATGATCACCTAGAATTTCTTTTATATAATTCCTTCTTCAAAGAAATTTTCAATAACGTATATAGAATTCTAATTTTATCTAAAATACTTTTCTTATATAATTTTCTCTCTATTTTATATATATATAAAAAGTAAATCTCAAGTGGCACAATAAAATGTTATCACGGTAGACCTGAGCCATTCTTTATTATTATTAAAAAAAAAAAAAATACAATAAAGTTCAAGCTTAATAATTTTCCTTCCTTCTTGATTACTTTGATAAATTACAATTAGATAGTGAAATAAAAAAAATTAAAAATATAAAAGTTTTCTGTTAGATTTTACTTACTTTTCCCATTAAAATTGTATATTTTAGAGATTAATTTGTATTATTGATATGTAAGTGTTTAATAGGTTTTAACATTATAGATTTGGCTTAGTAAAAGTCTTTTCTGATGTTTATAGGAGAAATAAAAATAATTTATTACCTTTAATGCATTTTCTCTTAAATTTCTAATGTTAATATGGAGTATTCAATAATAATAACTCGTTAATTAACGAGGCAATGTTCTAATTAATCTTTATAATGAGTGAAGTATTCTACTTTAATAATAACTTTTTTAATACGAATTTATGTAAATTTGACTTTTTTATTATTTAAATATTGAAATTTGATATGTTTAATTTCATTTGATCTCATTTCTTCATAAGTAAAGGTATATATATGTATTTATAGTAGGCCTCAATTATTATAACTAACAAAGGATAAATAGAGAAGAGTTTTCTTTCAAAGGTCAAATTTTTACTTGATTAAGCTGTTCTCAGTTTAATATAATACTAACTAAATACATTAATATGGAGTATTCATAATTGTGAAGAGAATTAAAATTAAAAATGGATCGATAAGAAGCTAAAAAAAAACATCGATTTAATTAAACTAAATAAAGTAATTTAAGTAATAATTTAACCTAAATTATTCGCTTTAATTAATATAATGATTTAATAATTAAAATTAAGGGGTTTAAAATCTTTAAAAAGTTATTAAAAGTTTGCTGTATACTGCAAACTTTCTAAATATTTTATTATTTAAAGAAATTATAATTTTAAATATTAATATTTTTTTACATAATTTAGATAAATTTAAATAAATTTGCATTAAAAGAATTTAGGTTTTTGCAAGTCGATAGTTAAAATGGCGAGGTTAAATACTTTAAATATAAAGTTAAACTTTCTTAAGTATGGAAATTACAGATAAAAATAGTTTTTAAATTTGGAAGTAAAGCAGATAAGAGGAAGAAAACGTGATTTACTGTTTGGTGTATTTTTATAAGCTGTCAATATCGATTGGGTCATCTTTTATGCATAATAAAGATAGGTTGGAAGATAAATTTATAAATAACAATATGTTTACACGTGATAAATTGCAGTATACTTTTATCTGTTGTTGACAATTCCAGGAAATGTAAAATTCATATTTATGTACTTAAATTTATATTTTTATTTCCAAAAAAAATAATATAAAAAATTAAATATTTATATATTGTATAAAAGAAAATAAAAATAAAGTTATATTAAATTTTTTCATAGGCTTATATAAAATATTGAATTTTCTTGATCATCGTTCTGAAAAATAGCAATATCTTTTATCCGCAAAGTTATCGATCAAAGTTTTTTTTAGTGTTTACACACATCTAAATATGAAAATGTTTTCTTTATGTTTTATTCAAAATAATAATAATAGTAGTAGATGCTTATATTTATTAACAATATTTGTAATATTTAAAAAATATAATTAATAAATTCAATGTCTATGAAATATAAGACTTCCGATCTTTATTTCTGTCAAAACGTTCGTCACACAATGGCATTCATCATTCATGGCATTTTTTTTTAAATAGTGGTTATAGAATAATAATAACTTTTTTACGTGCGTTTAGACATATACAGATTGATCTCATATACATACTTACAATTTTTCACTTTTATACAATTTTTTTTTAATGAACACATTATTACTTTAATATATATATATTTTTCTTTATTTTATATTGCACTTATGTCCCTTTTTTAAAGAATATGGTAGCCTTAGTTCCATATTCTTATATATTTGTATTTTTTTAAGATTATTTTATTTAAACCTCAATTGATCTACTGTATTGCCTAAACTACACTTATACAACATCAGCCATGTGTTATTTATTTAATTTTTTTTTTCTTTCTGGTATGACTATTAAAATGAATGGTCTCAACAAAACACAACAATGCTACAAATACAGTATAGAATGTCCACATTTAAACAGAACATATTAAAGAGATGCTTTGTGACTACGTTCTGAAGAAGGGGAATTTTCAACCGTGCTTCAGGAATCTTTCAACGCAAGGATCACGATGGCATACAGCGGGTACGCTTCTTTTAAAGAAAATTCTTCTCTGACGAAGTGGCAACATCATCATCTTAGCTTTAGTTTGGCATGGAATGTCGTCTTGGCAAATAGTTTTACTCTCTTCTACGAAACCAATATCACAATCGTCGGCGCTCATACCAAAACTAACTCCCTAAATAATTAAATATCTATCTTAATTAACTAAAAATTAAATAAACATAATTTTAAAAAAATAATCATTCATATACTTACACAGGTGTAACATACTTCATGCCAGTTACATGCTTCTAAAACAAGGCGTTTTAATGGCCCGCCCGGTACGATATCACCTAAAATCGAACAGTCACTCGAGAGAAGGTCTAGAGCGGGGCATTCCTCTAGTAATTATATAAATATAAAGTTTATAAACAAGAAATTATCAGACGAGTCAACTCACGTTTGCTTTTACATTAAGAACAAACCTGCAGCATCCATTATTTCATCCTCATCCACTTCGCCATTATAGATAGTCTCTGGAGAGAAGACCGAAACTAACTGCCCTGAATTATTCTCGTCTGGAGTGAATGAAGGTAGACTACGCATTGATATCCTTGGCAAATATGAATCTATACCTGTAAAATGTAATAAATATACAGTAAATACATAACAATATAGTATTATTCGATACAAAGACCCCGATAAATTTTAGTAAGGAAGTAAACTATCGTATAAAAATACATTGTTTTAAAAACTAGAATTCTCTTCTGACTTTATTATACAATTTTTTCAAGTATATGTCGAAAATTTATATTGAAATGTAGTGAAGTAGGACGATCTAAATAGCATTTTCTACCCACGCAGTAAATGTGTAGGCGAGTTAAGTTCAGAAGAAGTCAGACATGTCATAGAAGATTGAAGTGTATTGATCGTAAAACTTATCATCGAAAACAGCTATAGTTTTATATAAAATTTATATCATACGATTTCTTTTTCTCTGAGATACTCAAAATGTAATTAAATATTTTATTTACCGTTTGACAAAGAATATTGTCTTTTAGCTTGGTAAGGAGCCATCACTCTTAAAGCTTTTGCGAGATCCTCTTCTAGAAAAATAAAGTAAAATGCCTGAATATTAAAATAATTTATTTTTTGTTTAAAATACAGTATTAATATATATTTAAACGAATATATCAGAATTTTGATAAAAAGAAATACATCAAAGTTAAAAAAGATAATAGAATAATAATAAAGAGATGGTAAAAACCGAAATGTCATGTTGAACCATGGCATTTGAAACCTTTTAGAGAGACTATCTCGATATCTGATAAACAACTTAAACCACCAATTTGTCGAACAGAGAATTGTATTGATTTTTCTATTCTTGTAGGACATGTATCACTTGTTAAAAGTTTAATTCGTCTAGACATTAGAAAAAGTATTATCTGTTTTCAAATATCGAACATGATATTCGATGATTTAAATTGCTTTAATTTGATTTAATAAAATTGTAAGTTTATAAATAAAATATTATTATTAACACTGTTAAACTTACCTCTTTTTCTTGGTGTAACACTTGGCCAGTTTTTAATGCTGTCGGATTCATAACTGTTATTACTTTCTAAACTATCATCTTCTTCCTCTTCTTCTTCGTCGTCGTAATGCTTAATCTTATTCATCGAACCTTGTAAATGATCCAAAGCCTCTCTTAACTTTTGAACATCATCGGCCGCGTATAATTTATCTAATATTTTTTGTCCATATTCTTCAGATCCGATCCTTTCTTCGGCTCCTTCTCGAATTAGTTGAAGTGCATCAGATAAGATAGCGCTTTCAATTGTTTTCAATCTGTCATCGATCGCTTGAAACTTCTGAGATTTCTCATCGTCGACATCTTCATTCGATGGTACTCCAGGTGTGGAAAAATCATCGAAATCGCCAGCTACAATAGGAGCCCACCCACTCCTTTTCTTCTTTGTACTTGCCATGGTCATGGCCATTGTTTTGAAGTACTCGTCTCTTAACCACTGATTGAATTTATCTCCAGCTTCTTTATCCGCTTTGACATTTTTTTCAATAATAGAACTGACGGAATCTTCTCGGTTTTCTATTACTTTTTCTTGTCCCTGAGTATCGCTACTGTTATCTAATTTTGTTTCCGATATATCGTTTCCAGAATCCTTATCCTCCCTTTTTTTAATGTCTTTTTTATCTTCGTTTTCGTCTTTGAATATCTCTTTTAATTCTCCTAGGATCTGCTCCTTGTTATCTTTCGATCTCTTGACATTCGTGTGACCGGAAAGCTCTGATTTACCCGAATGCATTCTTCTTTTTTCGAATCGTCCTCTCTTGGTAAAATTCCAAATATCTTCTCTATTATTGGAACGAAAATTCCGCTTCCTTTGGAACTTTTCTCGACTTCTTTCAGGATCCCAGAAGTGACTATAATGTTCAATGCCTCGAGCATAATTGAAGAGATCCGATTTACTTTTTTTCCTTTTTCTCGTGCCTATCGTCGAATGTTTACCCTCTGGGTGTTTTGATTCGTTACTTATCGGATATTCCGTACTTTCTTCCATATTATTAGTAATAGGAGAGGATTTATGTGCGAAAATTCTCGAAGGTCCTTCCATATCTAAATATATTCAGTAATAATAATAATAATAATTTATTTATTTCACTGCATTTCGTATTTAAAAATTCTACATAAGTGTATTAAATCTCTTACACAGTTTTATTTCGTAGTATACATTAAATTTAAACTTGAGAGAATTTCTGAGTTGAAAGAGAATTAAAGAAAAACTACAAGAAATCCTTAAAGCATCGAATTCTTTTATATTGAAGAAAATATATTAAAATATACTCTAATAAAAAAATGTCAGGGAGATTAAAAAGTAGAATACTGTATAATTAATTAGCAAGATAAAAACAATGCTTTAACATAATTTTCCTAAAGGTTTCGGATGAAAATTCAGGAAACTTCATATTATATTTAACAAAAATATTCCAAACAAAGATGTGAATACAAAATATTTATTCGAGAAGAAATTCACAAAATAAATATTTTATAAATTCAAATATATGCTTAAAGTATATACANTTATTATAATCATAAAATGTTTATTGTTAATAAATTAAGTCTCTTGTGGGATTTCTTCCTCCTTCCATCATACGTGGTGACATCAGGTTTCAATTCTTCTTCTTCTCTAATTTCGTACTTGTCGTTTCTATCTCGTTTCTTTTTTATGTTATCATCATCATCAATCTCCGACAGAAATCTCTGTATATTTCTCGATAAAGCTGGAGAATAAATAGAATTTAAAGGTCGATAATTTTTATTATCGTATTCGTCATCGTTTTGTTCTAATTGAGGATCTTTCTTGGTAAAACGGCTATCAAAATGATATCTTCTCTTTTCGGCCATGTTCCTCCGATGATGAATGCTATCTAAAGCCATTTTAAAATTTTCATCTTCAGGATTTCGACTTTCGTGTAAACTATCCAAAGATAGACAAACAGTATTTCCTATCAAAACATATATTGTTAATAGTAGTAACTGATGATCTACAAACGATGTAAATTTTCCTTTTCTTGCCTGAAAATATAAAGTATTTATTCGTAAATTATTTTTTAAAAAAATGTTAGCATTAAATATTGATTTATATACTACATAACTAGTATAATATATGAAATATCCCAAGGCCAATTAATAAGCAAATTCGAATGTTGCTATGACGACGACGATTTGACATTTGCATGTTATGTTATTGTACGTTTTTGACTACCAAATTTTAACTCTAGTGAATTTTGTGGTGTCTTTTTTTTTTAAATTAAACATCGGCACGACATCGTTGATTTGTAAATCAATTTTTATCTATCGCCTAAACAAGATGTTATGCAAGTTTTCTCACATTTAATAATTGATGAGTGTGTTTTAGTGTTTGCGGTATTATTTTCTTTTTTATAATTTAATTATTAATGCACGAAAATGCTTTCTGCAATTATTGCAGTATATACAAAACGAGAAATGAATGCTCTTTTTATAAATTTTCCGATTGTTTTTTTTTCCTTTTATAGCTTTGATACTTAACAAAAATAGCATTAAATTTATTATATAATAGAGGTTTTTGGAAACATTTTTTTAAAGTAAACTTTCAGTATTTATTTCCTTAGTTCTTATATTAAGAATCTTCACGTTCTGTATTGCAGAGAAGCAGCATTTTTTATTCGTTTTGTTTAAATCTTGTGAAATAAATGGAGTAGAAAATATGTTAGTACTTCAAACGCTTGTTATATGAGTGAAAAAAATAATGGGTAGACAAATATTTTATTTATAAAAATTGATAACGACTACAGCGATGAAGATCAGCCATACTTATCGATCCAGTTTCCCCCATTTATAATCGATTTTAGCTAACTATACACAACGTTTACATGTTAAAATAATTTTATAATTAATAAGTACGTTAATTTAACTTAATGGAGAAAAATATATCTCAATTTATATCGTATACGATTTAAGAAAATATATATATATATATATATATCTACGTAAATACATAAATATTCACTCGATTTTTACAGAGACACAACGTGTTATTAATGACAGTTTTTTGCATCTTACCATTATCTTGTATGAAGTTGATAAAAAGAACCTTTAAGCTAAAACACGATACTTGGACATGGAATCGCCGTTAACAGACAAAGGATCACTTTTATGCTCACCCTCAATTCCATCTGTGACGTCATAACCCGCAGTCCCTCCACGCTTGCGTGGTTAGGTATTGACATCAGTGAGAAACTTTCCAACGAAGCAAGCTGCTATCCAAAAAATGAACCTTTTAACAATTAATTAAAAAATAGTGTTTGCTCGATATGTACACTATAGGAGGTCTTTTGACCAGGAAAGATCATAAGTCGATGATACAGTAACCAGACCTTATGCTACTATGACAACACACGCACGCACGCACGCACACTCTCAATACATTTAAGGATTACTCCTTCATTCTCGACTTAATCTCTTATCTTTACGAGTTAAAAGTCTTTAAAAATCATTATTTTTATTTTTAATATAGAACCTTTAACAATTCTTAATCTTATATATATAAGACCAGGCTTATAGTAGAGGTAGGAATAGAGGAGTTTAAATATAAAAAAAGTATTGGTTTTTTTTAATTTATGAGCTTTTAAACGATGAGGATGTCAATTGATATCGATTGAATTTATATATAAATATATTAAATATAAGTATAGGAGAGTTTATTAACTGCATTCTTGAATTTAATATCATCTCCTTGGAGATGGATGCTGCTGTATGGAGATAAAGGTTGACATTTGTGAGCTGCTCTTCATTCATAAACTTCATTTCGTTAACGACGGGAAATTTTGGCATATAAATTACGTTAATATAATATTATTAATATAGTTAAAAAGCCTATTTTTTTTACGTAAATTCATTTTAAAAAATCCTATGATGAGGGTAGGAAAATAAGAGATAAGGGCATAAACAGGAAATCTTTAAAGGTAATTATTAAAATTTGTGATTTAAAAACAAAAAATAAACATTAATTTAGATAAATTAATTAAAATATTTATTATTTAAGCCATAATTTTAATAAAAAAATCAATCGTATATAGACACAGTATATGTGTTAATATAAACATTATAATGGTAATTTAATTATAAATTCAGAATTATAAACACTATTAATTATCATATAATTATGTATTCAGAACTGTAAACATCTTTTATATTTTTGAATATTTTACATAAATATTAATAATTATTTAAGTGTTTAAAGTGTTTTTAAATACAGAAGAGGTTTGTTTTTGTTTTTATTAAATATACTAATATTTTTAATCTTGAAATATTTATAGAAATATTCTTGAATTTTTAATCTTAAAATCTAAGTTCTTTTCTGTTTGTCTTAAAATATATTGCATATGCGTTTGACGTTGAAGTGACGTAAACAAATCGATTCCTTCTCTATAAGAATTTATGAACTGTGAAAATTATTTTGCTCATTACCGTTATAGATAAACGTTATTACCCTATATTACGGTTAAATTGTATTTTTTTATGTTATTATTACGGAAAAAAATGCATCTGATTAATCTCTCTTCACATCCTTAAATTGGATTTTAAGTCTTTTTATTATAATCATAAAATGTTTATTGTTAATAAATTAAATTTTATAAAATCTTATTAAGTAAATTCTTACAGAAATTTAAATATAAACTTAGTTTTCTTGTATAAATTTAAAACAAATGGATATTGGCTCTTATGTATTTTTAATTATAATATGATTATAATTAATGTTAATATTAATTTATTAATTTTATAAAGAGATATTAATTATAATTAATGCATTTTTTTATTAATTTGTGTCATATGATGTATATAGAATTGAGATTATGTAGCAACAAGAAATAACTTTTATGTAGGAAATGATACACTCAATCACTTCAAAATGTATTGAAACAATTTCCTTTAAGACTGGATCATGTATTGACAAATATTAGTTTTTGTTATTATTTTCTTATTTATATATACAGGCAATCCATTAAGATTAATGACATATTGACAACAACAAGGAAAATTATCGAAAAAATTCAAAAAAAATAAAAAAAAAAACAATTGTTAAAATGTTCTTTATACACCGTATACATTGTGTTGTACTAATTTAAAAATTAACATTTTAAATTAAAAATTTTTCTAAACGAAAAACAATATTGATAAAGCAGCGTTCAAATATATACTTTTGTGTATATATGGAGTGGAGGGATGGGATAAGGTAAGGCAACACATGCCAAGGAAAAGTACATCCCGAAAAGACTTTCTATAGGAAACTGTTTACTATTTACTTAAAGAAAACCGAAAAATTTTATATGGTCAGTATAGAAACTGTTTCCTATTTAAATGTTAGACACGAGAAAAAAAACCCAGAAAATTCCACGTGGGCAGTTCACACTAGCAGTTACGAACTCGCAATCAAGTGGTTTTCCTCGATCATAAAAAAATGGATTTATTTTGATTTTAATGTAATTTATAAGTTGTTTTTTGACTTTTGTATCAAAATTAATATATAAATTTATGCATGAACAATTTTTATTTCGTTACTATTCTTTTCATGAAATTTAAAATTTGAATTTGAAAATAAATTTGATCGATTTTCTTAAAATATTCTTCGTTATTTGAAATATTTTTCGAAATCTAATTAACATTCAATATAATATTCTAATGTTAACATAATAGCGATGTAAATTTAATTACTTAATATTGAATTAACTAATTAATGAGTATCTTAATAGAGTCAAACTTGTGACCAACGACCAATGACGGGAACATAAAAAATGGCCGTTGTTTGGAGATTGTGTGCATTTCTGTTTAAAAAAATGGCTGCTGTTTAGAGGTGCCCGTCATTGAAGGGTCGAGTGTATAAATATAGTTCTTATGTATTAATTTTATCCAATATAAAATACAATACAATGGATCAAATCATACAGATGTAAAAAGTTTCATACACATAAATAATTACCTGAAATGCAATAATTTGCATTCAGCATCCTTTAAAACATGTACATACCTACATACATACATACCGTACAGTATAATACACGTATGTATACACATATATTGTTTTTTTGGAAACAATGTATTTCTATTTTTATAATATGAATTATGCATAATGTAAGTTATAGGAAACATGCAAGAAAACACGACGAATGGAAAAAAATACTACAATAAATTTGACGGACGGAAAGCTGAGGTAATTAGGGAGTCATCTTATGTCGATCCAGTCTCTCACCATCTGCTAATCCCCCTTATGGGTATGGCGGAATTCATGGTGAGTGTGAAAAAAGGATGAGACTGGATTGATTATAAAGGCAAAACACATGGGCGAGCTACCAAAAGCCATGAGGACTTTCTATTGAAAATTGACTCATATTTAAGTGTTAGACACGTGAAGAAAACCCAAAACACTTCACGCGTCAGCCCATCTGTCAGGCACAAACCCGTGACTGGTGTTTAGTGATTTAATGGAAGAAAAAGGCCATAATTTACGCGTAAAAGTTTAAAATTGATTGAAACATAAAATTTAAATCTTTATATAATACAATACATTTAACTTAATTAAATTTAATTTCTTTTTAATTATTTGTTATTTGTTCGTGGCATATTATTATCTTCTAAATGTGATCATCTGCTAATGGATTTTCTCCAGATTGTGGTAATTATTGCCCAGCTTCTCTCTTCTAACAAACTTCCTGAGTATTGAGAATATTTATTTATTACATTTCTCAATATAATTTACATATTTATAATTATATTTTTGTTTACAATTTACAGTTTTTTGTTAATTTGCTTAATAAACACTATCAAATTATCAGTCACACTCTAAAGATCTACTTGTTTTTATTAGTTTCCTCTACACTAACTATACAATTTCCAATTTTTTTTAATTAAAAAAAATTTAATTAAGCCCACTATTTACCAAATATCTCACTATAAACATAAAAAAACGAGAATTCAATGCATTCTTAGAAAATATCTTTTTAAAAGATTCATTTTTGTTCGCACACCGTAGATAATATTTACATCATCCTCCCTAAGCAAATTTTCAGGATTCATCGATGTGTACCTTCTATGTATACAGTATCTGTATGTAAATTTTTAGACAAATTGAGTAAGATGTTACACATATTCAGTACATGTTAATTGTTTAAATTCTTCAAATATAATGGAAATTCTTTATAAGCTTCTAAACCTTATAAAGAAGAAAAAAAATTATCGAATTAATCTTATTTATTATAAAATTTTCAAGATTTTGTGAGTATAAACACTTATAAATTCTGTAATTCCTGATATAACTTATAATGTTATGAATATCATTCATAGATATTACATAGATCGATTATTCATTTAATTAATTAAATTCAGAAGCAGCGGTTAGTTATCTTCCATTAGAATGAGGCCATTTACCAAAATGTCTCCTGGATTAAATTCCGATTAAGGTGCGGATTATTGAAATTCCATATAATTCTCTTGTTGATTCGTACACTTCATAATCCTCTCTTTAATCAGAAATGACCTCAAGATGACATATCTAATAACAGGTGTACTTAAATTAAAAATTTTAAATTTAAAAACGTATTTAATAATTAATCCCTTAGAGTTAAAAAAAATAGCTAAAATACTTATGTAAACGTGTTTAATTAAACAAGATTATAGATTAAATTTTTGAAATATTTAAATTAATAAGTTATAATATTAAAAATTAATGAAATTATTAATGAATTTTTCTCTAACTTAGTGTAAATATTAATTAATTCGATCCATATTTTAAAGTAAACATTTAATGATCATTTATCTTTTACTGAAAATTCTTCCATTTTGTACATTGTTATCGTAAAGTTAANAATTATAATATTTTCCTTTATCATATTCTTCGAAAAACACTTACACGAAGCAGCAATTTATTAATTTAATACGCACTGTAAAATTTATGGCATCTTCACCTTTAAACATCTTGAATATCATGAATAATAATTTTTTCAAACAATTGAATGCATGTTTTATATATTAATAAAAGTTTTTCAAGTGTCCCTACTGACTTAGGATAATAGTTTGCAACTAGATTTTCATCAACTATCCATCATGTATTTATCGAAACATCATAAATATTTAACATTAGAGAGGCTGCGGCCGAAGTTTTCATCTGTAAAACGTGAACGTCGAACGTCGAGCGCCAATTACAAGA